GGAGATGGTCCGCGGGCAGGTGTTCGACGTGGGGCCGCGCTACACCAACCTCTCGTACATCGGCGAGGGCGCCTACGGCATGGTGTGGTGAGTGTCCGCGCCCGCTCTCAGGCCCGGCCTCACCCGGTCACCCCTACCCCTGCCTGCGGCTGTCCCGGACGCAGCTGCGGCCTCTCCCGCGCCTCGGCCTCGCGCTCGCCGGCGACCCGGACCCCAGGCTTCTTGGCCCGCACGCCCTGGGGCGGGGTCCCCGAGCCGGTGGAGGTTTAGGTGTTGCGGGGGTGCTTTCTGAGCCGACCCTCGCTTGCTGTTGGAGGGGCACTCGGGTACTCCTGGACGCGGTCTCCAGCGCGTACTTTCGAGGCAGCTCTCTTGGGAAGGGAACGGAAGTGCACCATGTCCCCCTCATTTAGTAACATAGCCGCCTTCTTGACGATGGTAAAACCAAGAATTCCATCAAATGCTTGTCCTTGGTGGTGGCGGCGGCGGCCGTGGTTTTGAAAGCCGTTCCGTTCTCCTCCGCTGGTGTGCAGAACACCAAAGTATATTCTCACTCGCTTCTGTGTACGTGAACAGCTTTTATTAAATATCTCCGGTGGAGCTGATGGTGCTTTTCTGTGCAGGTTTTCTAAAAAGCATTAGTGACACCAGTGTTGGTTGTAGGATATTTCAGTCTTGAAGTTTTAAAATGGATTTAAATAACGTAGATTGCGTTTCAGGAAGGATAAGCCAGCATCGCTCTTGGAGTTATTAAAGATGTATTTGGAGTTGGGCCTAATTTGACTTAAAATTCGCCCTTCCTTATCCCAAGAGAGCTCTCTTAACAGTATAAATGTATCCAGGCGTTGGACGCCCGATTACTGTGGACTTTCCCCATTAATGTTTTAAGTGGTCTCTCTCATTCATGTATGTATATGCGCGCGCGCGCGCGCGCACACACACACACACACACACACGCACACACGCTTAATGGAATTCTTGCACAATCACTGACAGTATCTCTTATCTTGATCCAGATCCCTCAGAATTGTTTGGAATGATGATGACGGTATTGTTTTTATAACAAGCTAGCTGTAGTGTCTTGTACTGGTGAAGACTTGTGGAAGTAGATTCTCTTACCCCTAAAATTGTGTGTCTTTCATGCTGAATGCATCGAACTCATTTATTGAATGGCTGGTGTTTAGGTACTGTGCTACTGGAAAGAAAAGATAGCCTCTTTCAGATAAGGTACTGGAGGAAGTCACTTCCCAAGGTCGTAGAACTAGAGCCAGGCTTTGATTATGGGCAGATCCTGTTTCAAATGCTGAAGCTTTTCAGTCATTCCACACTCTTCCTTGATGTTAGTAATAATTTCAGGACTTTAGCATATTTTAGGGATGAACAAGTCTATTTCAGAAATGCATTCAAATTTGAATGGCCATAAATTTAGAAATGCAAGGAAAGATGTGTTTTACCAAGTGTCTTACCTAAATGGAATAATTAACATTCTTTTAAAAAGACTTAATTGAATCATGAATATTTTCTTTAGGAGAAGGATGCTTCATAGTGTACAACTGAAAATTTATGTGAACTCACAGGCCTGGGGGCCAAAAGAGAGATTAAATTAGGTCAGTATTAAAAGAAAGACCTGAACAAACAATGGAGAAAAAGTCCTTCCACATCACATCTGTTTCCACACATCTTTCTGCTCTTGGCACCTGCTGATAAACATGTCAGCGATCTTGTTATGAGATATTCAGGATTGCCCTTCATATTCTGATTTATTTTAAAAATTAGCTTATTTTAAATAGGGGCCAAAAACTTTAGGACTTGTCAGTTGAAATTTTTTTTTCCTCCTCTGATAAAGTGGATTATTAGAGTTAGTTGACCTTTGAAGTCTCTCTTTGTGGTCCAAAGTCCTCTTATAAATCCAAGTTATAATTTTAAGAATAATGCAAATATAATAGAAATTTGCATCCTGGGTCCAGCTTTGTAGCCTTTTATCTCCAGGTTGATAACATTTTATTATTTATTGAATCTTAATTGTAGGTTATTAGCATTAGATCAGTGTTGATTAAATGTTTAAAATGGTTTAAATGTTAATTAGTGATCTTTAAAAACTTAATGCTTTCTGAGGGATTTAAGGATTTTCATCTATTCTTTAGCAGGATTGTCCCCCCTCCCTTTTTTTTTTTTTTCCAAAAGCAGTTCATTGGGAATTGTGCCTATTTTATTTAAGTCTCTTTCCTAATATTATGTGGAAGATAAAAAGACGGGTGTAAGTTGGGCCTTTAAGAGTGGGTGTGGTTTTTAGCTGGGCATGGTGGCGCACGCCTGTAGGACTTGGGAGGCAGAGGCAGGTGGATCTCTTGAGTTCAAGCACAGCCTGGTCTACATAGTGAGTTCCAGGACAGCTGGGGCTACCGGGAGACCCTGCTTCAAAAAAAACAAAAACAAACAAAAAAAGGAGTGGGTGTGATTTTTATAGGCAGATAATAAGAGCAAGTGACAGCTTGAGCTGTGGAATCTAATCCTAGAAAGGTACTTAGGTGGGGCTGGAGAGATGGCTCAGCATTTAAGAACACTGTTATTGCAGAAGACCCACATTCGAATCCCAGCACCCATATGGCAGCTAACAACTGTCCAGTAACTCCAGTTCCAGGGGATCTGACAGTCTCTTTTGTCCTCTGCAGGCATTGCACGACATGGGTGTGCTTCGCTACATGCAGGCAATGCACACACATAAAATAAAATATTTAAAAAAAGGAAAAGTACTTAGGTGGAAATCTATAGAAGATTCTAATGGCAAGGGGAATTTGATTGTTTATTTGTTCATTGGGAAAGCATTGATGTGTTAGACGATCATGGTCATGTTTTTAATTTTAGTGAAGATACATCCACACCTGTGCACTAATTCTGTGTCTGTGGAGGTGAGGAACCTTGAATAGAGAAAAATCAAAGGAACTCTTGTGGGAAGTGGTAGGAAGAATTACTAAAGACAAGTATGGACAGAACCAAAAGCAATGTGACTTACAAGGTAAGAAGAAATCAGGAAAGATGTGATTTAGATTTGAAGATTTCTGAAGTAGGAGACAAGGCTTAGTGTTGATGCTATAATCCAAGAGAAGGGATGCAGTAGGCAGACAGATTTGCCAGGGAGAAATAGTGATTTTTCTCTGTCAGTTTAGTTTGTAGGCCATTCGTGGCTATACAGAAAGCATCTTGACATTTGTAACAAGGGAGCAGGAGCTGGAGATGAAAATATGTGTACAGTGAGTGACAGTTAAAATTTTGAGCAGCACCCTGTAGCTTCTGGAACTCACAACACGGGCCAGGCTGACCTTGAACTCACATAGATCCGCCTGCCTCTGCCTCCTAAGTGCTGGGATTAAAAGCGTGCGTTGCCCTGCCCTGCAGAGCAAGATTCTTCTTTGGGGGGGGGTCATTGGTTTGGTAAAATTGCAAGTATATATGGTCATCTCTTTGGTGTATAATCCTTAGTATTACATAGATTTTTTTTCAGAGAGGTTCATTATAGTTAAGGACCACTGAGAGGAGCTGGAGAGATGCGCTTAGTGGTTAAGAACACTGGTTGCTCTTGCAGAGGACTCAAGTTCAGTTCCTAGCATTCACATGGCATCTCACAACTAATCTCCAGTTCCAGGGGATCAGTGCCATACATGCAGGCAAAACATTCATGCATGTAAAATAAAAAAGTCTTAAAAAATAGAAGAAACAGAACCACTGAGATAAAATGGGAGGAATAAAAGCATCACTGTGAAGAAGGCCAAGACCTGGTGACGTGTAGAAGAATGGCAGGAATGAGGAAGAGGATATCTATTGTCCGATTGATGAATGTTTCAGATAAGTTTAGCTTTTTTAAATAAAGATTAGTTTCTCTCTCTCCCTCTCCCTCCCTCCCTCCCTCCTCCCTCCCTTCCTCCCTCTCTCTCTCTCTCTCTCTCTGTGTGTGTGTGTGTGTGTGTGTGTGTATGTAGGGGTACCCACGGAGATCAGAAGAGGGCATTGGATCCCCTGAAGCTGGAGTTTTATAGGCAGTTGTGAGCTACTCCCATGTGGTGCTGGGAACTGAACTGGGGTCCTCTGTAAGAGCATCAAGTGCTCTTAAGCCACAGAACCATCTCCAGCCCTGGATAGGGTAAATTTGAAATATTGTTTCTAGATCTGACAGGGTTGGGGTACTTAATTGAAGGCCAGGCTGATGGAAACTTGGTAAATTGATGAGAGAAAAATCAGAGAACTGATGCAAAGGGATACCTGCCCCTAGGTGTCAGTGGAATGCATGTTAAGGAAGAAGACAAGAACTGTGATGGGAGAGACCAGAGAAGAAAGAGTGCATGTTATCAGAGGAGCCCAAGGACATGTGGTCATTAAAGGATTGATATTAAATACTGCCGAGAGAGGCTGGGGAGATGGTTCAGCAGTTAAGAACACTGGCTGCTCTTGTAAAGGACCCGGGTTCGGTTCCCAGCACCTGCATGGTGGCTAACAACCATCCATAACTCCAGTTCCAGGGGAATCTGATTCATTCTTCTGACCTCTGCAGCATTGCATGACATGGATGCACATACATTGAGGCAAATTACTCATATACATATTAAAATTTTTTTAAAGGGGTGGGGCAGCTGGAGAGATGGCTCAGTGGTTAAGAACACTGGCTGCTCTTACAGAGGACCTGGGTTCAATTCCTAGCACCAACATGAGGCTAACACTGTCTGTAACTTCAGTTTCAGGGGAATCCCTGACTTCTATGGGCTTTGCCTGACACTTGTGCACTTACTCATATGAAGGCAATACACTCATACATATAAATGAAAATAATAAATTAAAAATAAATACTGCAGCTGGGCATGGTGGCACACACCTTTAATCCCAGCACTCCAGGGACAGAGGCAGGTGGATCTCTGTGAGTTCAAGGCCAGCCTGGACTACCTTGTAAATTTCAGGACAGCTGGGGCTACAGGGAGACTCAGTCTCGAAGAGATAAATAAATAAACAAATAAATAAATAAATAAAGCAGAGAGCAGAAAGAATGCAACTGAGACCAAGCTATTATATTTGTATTTGACCCTCCACTTTAAAAAAAA